GTGCCAGTCTACAGATACACATGGCTGATTGGCAAATCTTAAATTTGTTGTACATGTGTCAGGTGTAAATGATTTTGATGAGTGTTATCCAGCGGTTACTTAATCATAGAGCCAATTACCAGCAAACTGTCTTCCATGGATGCTGACGGTCGGGCCGTAGATAATGCTTCTTGTTCTGTAGTATTCTCCTGCCTTCATATACCGGAACAACAGACGCATAATCACAAGAAGATATCGTCATCAAATGACTTTTAAGCGTCTTTGCCCTCCATAGATCTCGGGCTGTGGAATTATGCAGGGTTGTCGACACGCTGACAACTTTGGGCTTTCCGAGGGGAAGGGCAGGGGCGGGGCGGGGGGTCTTTTTCATTGCAGATATGGCTCGATCACTCTAGCCGCCTGTAGAGAGCGTCACAGATTTTTTTTTTTTTTTTTTTTTTTTTTTTTTTTTTTGTTTTTTTTTTTTTTTTTTTTTTTTTTTTTTTTTTTTTTAGCACCATCACTGTAGCTCCTTTTTTTTTTGTTTTGTTTTTTTTTTTCTTTTTTTCTTTTTTTTTTTTTTTTTTTTTTTTTTTTTTTTTTTTTTTTTTTTTTTTTTTTTTTTTTTTTTTTTTTTTTTTTTTTTTTTTTTTCTCTTTTTTTTTTTCTTTTTTTCTTTTTGTTTTTTTTTTTTTTCTTTTCTTTTTTTTTTTTTTCTTTTTTTTTTTTTTTTTTTTTTTTTTTTTCTTTTCTTTTTTTTTGTTTTTTTTGTTTTTTTTTCTTTTTTTTTTTTTTTAACAACAGTCTTCGGGGATCTCAGTAACAATTGCACTGTTGAACTGAACGACACAGTCCGTTAAATAAAACTCTGACTTTGAAATCGTGATGCAAACGGGAAGATCACTGGGCCACGGAGCTCCCTTAATAATGTATACGGTCTTGCACGTCTACAAGCAAGCTGTCGGTTTTATGAAGTGGAGCTCCTGGCTTCTTGTGCAGTCCTTTTAGCAGTCTTGTATCACAGGTACAAGCAGGCACTTGTATCACATTTTACAATGAAGTGATTGAAGCTGGCTGTGTCTCTTTGAGTTTCATTGTCGTCTTGCTGAATTTTTTTTAATAGAAACTCGTATGTGTATGTATGTGTGTGTGTGTGTGCGATTGTGTGTATATGATTTAATTAGCATCCTATCAGAAAGTGCATTAATTTTCACCCTTTTTTTCATGGCTGACGTCTGCTGTAACCAGGCCAAATACTTGTGTTGAAACATAATGTGAGTAGATTTTGGCAAAGAGGATAACAAACATAGTTTCAGAGGAAAAGGCGGGAAACAATGTGGCTAGAGGGGACGTGAGAGCCGGGATGTTTATTATCTGGCATATATCTTCATTGCTGAGGTTCCGCCCCTGATCCCAGAAGTGTTTTGTCCAAAGCCCGAGACAAGGGCGCTATCTGCTGTCCGGACAAACGGGCAGACACAAAGCAAATGCGCTTTTTGCATGTTTAGGGAGTCGCCTTTGTTGACCGTGGCGGTTCCTGGTTCCCTACGGAGGTGGCCAATTTGGCAATTGGATCGATGGGAGAACTGGGGGGAAAGAGATGTTTGTTCGGAGCTGTCACTTTGTTCGTATTGCTGACTTCGTCCTGACCACTGCTGTCACTCCTTCCGAGCGGAATTCGTATGCAGACCGCGGGCCTACATTGCAGTTGTTGCCGTTGCTGTGGATAGGTTTTTTTTTTAAATGCAGCTCCGCTAAAAAAAAAAAAAACATTCAAAGCTGCGGTTACCGGGGCTTTCGTTGTTGGCTCATTTCATTTTTTTTTTTTAAATAAACAGACTGAAATATGTGTGTACCGCGATAGTCTAGTGGTCCGAGCACCCATTGTCAGACCTGTCCTCTTGATTTCAAATCCTCCTGGAATTATGTTTTCCCCATGAATATACGACTCCGGGGTTGATCCATCTCTTTGAAGGGGGTACCTAGACAATGCACCGGTTCAGGCGGTGGCTTGATAGAAATCACATCGAGAGAGAGAGAGAGAGAGAGAGAGAGAGAGAGAGAGAGAGAGAGAGAGAGAGAGAGAGAGAGATGTGATTTTTTTAAAACGAGGTGCTCATATAATTGTATACTTACGTATGGACTACCTCTTGCAGTTGCTACAATTTTGTTTAACCTGTACTACCCATAGTTTGATGGCTTTACATAAGCAGTCAATATTTATGTGTTGTGTTTTGAGAAATAGCTGCAGCCTAATTAAATTAGTACAGCCTATATATGGATGCAGCTCTTGAGTCGAAATTACGATTTCGTGCATCTTCATTTACATTTGCAAGTACACACACACACACACACACAGAAAGAGATATAGAGAGAGAAAGAGGGGAGATGGAGTGACTGATAGGGCAGAGAGAGAGAGAGAGAGAGAGAGAGAGAGAGAGAGAGAGAGAGCACATTTGGCTTAACATTTGTTGAGCGAACCGCCTCATGTCCTATTCACTGTTATATATATAATTTATGTTGTGTTACCATTGATGTTGCATGCATTTTCCAGTATCTGCCACAACCCCCAGTGTATTACTGTTGTCGTAAATATAGATTAAAATAACTGATTTTTTTTTTTTTTTGTCTTACATAATTTCTGATACGGTAATGTCGTACACAGGTTTCAATAGAATGTCTTAGACAGATTAATGGCCGCCAGTGAGCGAGATTTTAGACCATTTTTGTATGATTATATGCCAGTTTGCAGTACAGTTAATCAGCCGTTTACCTCATCATTACGGATTGTTTCCCCTATGTTATACACCTACTACATTGAAGAGTCATGCAACATTTCATACTCCTGAGTCTGTTGTTGTTGTTGTTGTTGTTGCACGCATAATCAAAACAGACGGTAGGAATTTTGTTTATTGATATCCTTTAGGTAATTTCATTTGATAAAATCATCACCTTATGAAATTTGTATCATGCTTTTGGTGTACTTCTTTATATCTTTCTACTTGTCATTGAAGAAATATCGTTCAATCTGTTTAGAGTAAGTAGGTAACAGATTCTAGGATAGTCTTTTACACTTGTCCGCGGAAAGCCGAGGGTCCTTGGAACAAATTCAAGATGTCTTTAATATTATTTATCCCACAAACAAACAAATTTAGAATGTAGTCGAAGTCGAACTGGATTTGCCCGAGAACCGAGGAATCAATAGTCTGCATAAAAATAAACCAGAACTGCAAACGGAACTGCACGCAAAACTGGAACAAGACTAAAATGAAGTCCCTTCCCCGCGGGGATTCCGATGACCCAACGTGGGTAAAACAAGACAAGACCCACTGCCTCCATACAATCGAGTCCTCAGAGACAACTAATTGTGAGCTTCCTTCAAGTTGGAGTGCATCTGACCGAGAGGCAAGGAACCAGAGGTCTGCATACACAAATACGTCGGATCTGTAAAACGGATGTGCACGAAAAACTTAAATTGTGGAACAAGACTGAAGTCTAGAGGTAAACGAACAACCAAACCTTTCCGCCAGTGAAGGCGAAGAAGAAAAAAGAAGAAGAAGAAGAAGAAGAAGAAGAAAAAGAAGAAGAAGAAGAAGAATGCAAACTTTCTTGTGATTCTGATATTTGTAATGTATAAGTTCTTCAGAAGAAGAAAAAGTAATGGGAAGCAGAAGAAGAATTTGGGAACCACTGTTTTCAGTGGCAGGTATTACCGATGCTGTTTTGTTGGTGCAGTGGTTTTTTTTCTTGTCTGTGCTTTCAGTATGTGATTCTGATATTTGTAATGTATAAGTTTTTCAGTCTGACTTTTAAAAAGTAATGGGGTCCGCAAGTCTTAGTCATTTGGGAACCACTGTTTCAGTGGCAGGTATTCCCGAATGCTGTTTGTTGGTGCAAGTGTTTCTTGTCTGTGCGGTCAGTATGTTGAATCTAGAGCTTGTACATATTTAGTGCTTGCAGTTGTTGATGTATTAAATGTCAGTCTGTATTGATAGAGAGAGGGAAGCAGACATGAATGACCATTTGCCGCGTCTTCAGAGGTGTTGTGGGCTCATAGAGCTGGAACTGTAATTTATAGACCAATCGGCATTAGTTGGGTGATGTGGTCACATCACACTGAATGTTTAATGAAGCCATTGAAATAACGTAGGTAATACTGCACAGATATTATGGGTTCAAGTGGATGATAAAAAATGGCTAGTAATGGCATTTTTTTTTTTTTTTTACAATACGGTTAACACAGCCACAGTGGACTGCAGATTACTTTGTAAATATAGGGTGCCTGTCGTATACGGTTAAACCCGGTTTCTGTGGTTTGCTTTCCATCCAGATAGTGGCAGTTTGAGTCATTGGTTGTCTTTCAGGCGGTAGTTTCTTTTAGAGCCTTTTATGGCAGCTTTAACTACAGGCGAAGTGGGTTTAGAAGTAGCATGATGATTTAGGGCAGTAGCATACTGGTTTTAGCAGTAGCATACTGGTTTTAGCAGTAAGTGGTGTTTTTAGCAGTAGATGGTGTTTTAGTGGTTTTAGCAGTAGGTGGAGTTTTTAACAGTAGGTGGTATTTTCAGCAGTAGTATGGTGGCTTTGGCAGTAGATGATGTTTTTAGTAGTAGTATGGTGTTTTTAACAGTAGGTAGTGTTTTTAGCAGTAGTATGGTGTTTTTTTTTTAAGCAGGAAATGGTGTTTTAGCAGTAGTAAAGTGGTTTTAGAGTTGGTAGTGGTTTTAGCAGTAGTATTGTGGTTTTAGCAATAGAATGGTGGTTTTAGCAATTGGTGGCGTTTTTTTTTTTTAAGCAGAAGATGGTGTTGTTTTTTGCAGTAGCCTAGAGATGTTTTTAGCTGTAGGTGGTATTTGTAGCAGTAGTATGGTGTTTTAGCAGTAGTTGGTGTTTTTTAGTTGTTGAATTTTGATTTTAGCAGTAGATGGTCTTTTTATCAGTAATGCCATTAAAAAGATTAGTGTACTTGTAGTGACATTTTTTTTAGTCTGTTCTTAATCTGAATTTACTTCTCATCACAGGCTCTGAACAAGAAAGAGCACAAGGGATGCGAAAGTCCGGAGCCTGGAGCAGACTCAGACCCGTACAATGGATTACGTGTTGATGATAAGTATGACCATCGTATACCTGACGACTACCAGAGAGTCATGCAGCAGAACGTCATGCGGGTAGGAGTTCATTTTACAGAACTTCTTTAACCAGTTTCTGATTTTTTTTTAGTCATCTTCTTCTTCTTCTTCTTCTTCTTCTTCTTCTTCTTCTTCTTCTTCTTCTTTTTCTTCTTCTTCTTCTCTTCTTCTTCTTCTTCTTCTTCTTCTTCTTCTTCTTCTTCTTCTTCTTCTTCTTCTTCTTCTTCTTCTTCTTCTTCCTTCTTCTTCTTCTTCTCTTCTTCTTCTTCTTCTTCTTCCTTCTTCTTCTTCTTCTTCTTCTTCTTCTTCTTCTTCTTCTTACTTCTTCTTCTTACAGATTCTTCTTCTTCTTCCTTCCCTTCTTTGTTCCCTTCTTCTTCTTCCACTTCTTCTTCTTCTTCTTCTTCTCTTCATTCTTCTTCTTCTTCTTCTTCTTCTTCTTCTTTCTTCTTCTTCTTCTTCTTCTTCTTCTTCTTCTTCTTCTTCTTCTTCTTCTCCTTCTTCTTCTTCTTCTTCTCTTCTTCTTCTTCTTCTTCTTCTTCTTCTTCTTCTTCTTCTTCTTCTTCTTCTTCTTCTTCTTCTTCTTCTTCTTAGTGTTCCTGTTTAAAAATGGTAAACATTCCTGGTTGTTTGTCTTCTGGACTTTGATCTTGTTCCAGAACTGATTTACATGTACTTTACAGATCTGGTCTACTTGTACATAGATTGTTGTTTCCCCGCCTCGGGCAGATGCACCGTGACTTCATAGGAACACCCCCTGATTAGTTGCTTTTTATATGCTTATAAAGGGAGCTGTGACTCATAGTATCTTCCCCCTCCCTAAAACCGTGTCCCCAGAACTCATACAGGGATTCTGTTAGTCCATGCCATGTATCAGTGGATATCCTGTTTGTCTTCGATTGTTTCTCTACACCCTCCTGCTTGACAGGGTGCCAGTTATTGAAACAATGTGCTGATGCACCCTTATTCCGTGATGTAACTCTAATATCTTCTCTCTCCATCATGCAGAGTAAATCTAATATCCTCTTTATCCATCTTCCCATGTAAATCTTATTATTATTTAAACATTCTTATTATTATAACATGTTTCAGTTTACAGCCCACAACAGCCAAAAATGCTGGCGTTGGTTCTGCAATGTTACTGTAAAGGATTCACGGCTAACGTATTTTTTTTTTTTTGGTTTACTCTTTATCATAAACATATCTTAATTTAATTTGAGCCATTCTTCTATTACTGTTGAAATTTCTCTTGCATATAAAGTAGGGCTGTACCGAATAGTGATTTTCACTATTCGGCCGAATACGAATAGCTGGAAAAACTATGCGGCCGAATACAAATAGTGAATCATCATTATCAGGTGCTTTGCCGACCGGCATGGGTGATTATGCCTCGCCACAATCTGCGATCCCCTGCAGCATGTATTAGTTCGTGTGCCGACACACCTCCATGTCATGCAACAAGACTGTCAAGAATCTTCTCTCGTGTCTTCCTCTATCTCTCCTTCACAGATCTTCCCAGTGGTCACCACATGTTCCATTTTCCCTTATCTTATAACATGGCCGAAAAATGATGACTGTCTCCTTCTGATGTCTGTTTTTCTCTTTCTTCTTCTGCGTTCGACATCAGTCATGCTAAACATTAAGTCCCGTCTGGGTCGAAAATAGGATTGTGCGTTTAAGGTCGCCACCGGTACTCCATAGCTTCTCTCGCAACGTGGATCTCTTGGGCCAGATCCACAGTCTTTGTTGGGAGAGGTAAGGGCAGTACTGCAGTATATGCTCAGAGGTCTGTCTTTCTGCTCCACAATCACAGGCAGCAGATTCTTTTATACCTTTCCTGTACAGGTGTGCTCGAAGACCACAGTGTCCAGTCCGATGTCTGTGAGTAGTTGTCTTCGGGCTCCTGCCTCTTTCAAAACCACTTGGTTGCTTTTTTTTTGTGGGGCTGTCCAAGGTATTTTAAGCATTGTTCTGTAAAACCACATCTCTGAGGCTTCAAAAAATTCACAGCCATATGTTAAAACTGGATGTATGTAGCAAGCAAAAAAAGCATTAGCTTTCAACAACAACAAAAACATACACACACACACATACACAATTGTTCCATGTTGTCAGCATTAAGGCAGCTTCTTGTCTCACTAAAGGTACTTCCAGCTGTACTAAACAGACGTTTACTTGGTACGCTCGTAGGTGGTGCACAAAGTAACGCTTGACAGTATGAACCAAGGTGGGAAATCTTGATATGTTCATTTTCCACCAGTCCAGAAACGGGTGTAAGGTAACCACTGTTTGTATTCGGCCCGACCACAACTATTCGGCGAAAACCGAATAGTTATTAGGTCCACTATTCGGCCCGAAGCGAATACGAAACGAATATTCGGTACAGCCCTAATATAAAGGAAAAGCCCTCCACATAACTGTTATTAAGAAGATATGTGTACTTATAGTGATATTTCTAAGGCTGTTCTTGATCTGACTTTACTTCTTTACTGCCCTTTCACAACTGCCACTTTTTATTCTTTCTGTTCAATAGTTTTATTAATTCCTCAATTTGAATTCCTCAAAACTCAGAATGGTTATTCTGAATTTGAACACTTTGCACAGACAGACAGACAGACAGACAGACAGACAGACAGACAGACAGACAGACAGACAGACAGACAGACAGACAGACAGACAGACAGACAGACACACATGCACGCACGCACGCACGCAGGCACACACAAATGTTAAAGCTACAGTATTGTAACAAAAAAAGACCCTTTTCCACGCCTTTAAGCATATAGGACTAGACCTATATTTTTATAGATCTATCGGCACAAGATAGGTGATGTGGTCACCATCACGCCAGCCGCCTTTACTTTCCAGGACTGCACCCGGTACCCACTCAAGGCTGGGTCAGCCTGGGAGCCAAGGTCATTTCTGAAAAAATGTCCGGCTCCGCCAGGGACGAACCCACAACCCTCTGATCAGCAGTGAGCATCTAGCCGCTCCGCCACGGCGACACTAGACTGATACTGATGATTATATCCTAATGTTTGAATTCTGTTTTCCCTGTGTGGGTTCCCTGGTGGTAGAAAAAACAAAAATAGACCCACTGCCTATCCAAAAGCATGCCAGAGAGTCTAATAATTGGGAGCTTTCTTTCAAACTCTGAGTGCATCTCCTGAGAGGCAAGGAACCAACAGTTTGCGTACAGATGAATCAGGTCTGTAAAATGAATATGCTTGCAACACTCAGGTCCTGAAACAGAACTACATTTCAGAAGTGGACAAACAACCAGAACATTTCCACCGGAGCTTACAGCCAGTAAACAAAAAGAAGAAGAATAATTTCATTAGTGAAAATAACTCAAGCTATTCTTTATTTCCAGCATACTATGCCATACCACAATCAGGGTATGCCGGTCTCACTGAACATGCCCTTACATGGGGGAGGTGGAGGTTTGTATCAATCATCTCAGCCTGGACTCATGCCCCCCACACCTCAATCTCATCACAATCATGTGGGATCACCTGGCCTACTGCAGCCACCACAAGTCCTAAGTCCACGCCCTCACTCAACAGGTAAATAATGTCTTGTGCTATAACAGATACATATGCCTAGTTTCTTTTTTTTTTTCTGCATTGCCCCTGAAAAGCTGTTTGGCAGATTGTGTTGTGGTTGAATGCTAGGGTGCGATATTTGTGCCTTAATGGTCCAAAACTTCAAATTTCAGCAAATCTTTATTTAGTCGCTAAGGGGCAATGGATCTATTCATCCTCCCCTCCCCTCTTCCTCCCCCTCCCCCATGCCCCTGAATAGTTGGTTTCTGAGGGTACCATATATGTCATTTTCCTGGTCTCTTGAAAACTAGAGCCGTGCATACAGATTAACTCTTTTAACAATTTCTTGGCACCGGGGACAAAAGAAATAGTTCTTTTTATAAGAAATTCCTCTTATCCAGGGCAGGAATTCAAGCAAGAAAAATCTGCTGGGGGAAAATAAATTGTTCTTCACAACAGAAATTCGCCACATCCAAAGATCACCTTAAGTGGCCTGCACTGTGGTAGCCCAAGGGTTGAAAAGACTAGTCTAGAAGACAGATTTGCATGGCCAGATGTAACCAAAGCGGGTCACACATTTCATATTGATTGAATCTAAAAGAGCTAAAAGTTTCGCATAAACTGTATGCTTACCTGAATGTTGCCATGGCATTCTTCTTATTTTGACATTTCAGATATAAACTAAACTGTTGTAACTGTTATCATTTATGCTTTACGTTTATTTTTTTAAATTTGTTTTCATTCTTAAAAGTTTCTGAAATATTATAAAAACCAAGTTACAGAAAAAAAATTATTATTATTCTTTGCGCTCATCAGCTGTAAACTCCAGCAGAAAGTTCTGGCTGTTCATCCAGCTACAGACTTTAGTCTTGTTTCAGAACATGCATATTGCATGTACATTCTGGGGGGTTTTTTAAAAAACAGATCTGGCTTATTTGTATGTATATGCAGATAGTTCATTCCTTCCCTCTAAAGCAGATACACTCCAACTTTGAAGGAAACCCCCTCCCCCTCTATTGAATCAACTATTGTGACATGCTTGTTGGGGTGGGTCTGTTCTTGTTTTCTTGTAATGGGACCCCAGAACCCAGACAGGAAGACAAAAAATTATTCAAGAATAATATGAAAAATTAGCATAATTTTCACACTTGAATAATATCAGTCAATCAATAACTTGCTATTTTCACTGTGAAGGTTGGCTGCAGTGTATCTCCAAGTTACCCTGTCTTCCTCAGACTGCTGTTTGTCCATCTCTTGATGTTATCAACCCACTTGTATCGCTGTCTGTCTCTTGCTGACTTGCCTTCACCGCCAGAAAGATTTGTATCAGTGTTGGAAAATATAAGGAGTTTAAATATGTCATACTGATTAACTCTTTTGAGTCCCAGGGGGTTTAGTATCACAAGCCCAGTGGGTAGTAATGAAAGTAATAAAATCGGCGCATCATGCGTTCATTGGGCTTCTAGGTAAGAACCTATGAACGTATGAGACGTTCCTTGGGACTCAAAAAGTTAAAGCAAACCTAACTGTATTTTTCTCTGTAACTAGGAGGAATGTCCGATCACATGAGTCACTCACCCACCCCTAATGGATACCAACAGCGCATCTCCCCATGCAGCTCTCCTGGTGGCCTGTCTAGCACATCCCCGAATATGATGTTACACAATGGCAGCAACATGTCGCATCACAAGGGGAACTCACCTAATGTGACCCCGACACACACGCCGACTCCTCAGATGCGAGCCAGCTCCAACATGCGCATGATGGGCCCGATGCGTCCGGATCACCTAGGTGTGCCTGAGGTAATCCAATTTCATTATTTCAACAATTAGCATTTGAAGTGGTGTTTGGATTTCTAATTGGTATTAAGATAGTTAGTGAATTAGTTAGTAAAGCAAACCAAAGAGTTCAAATACTTGGGCAGTATATTTACAGAGGATGGAAGAATGGACAGAGAGATAGAAACAAGAATACAGAAAGCAAATGCTGTCACATACCAACTATCACCTCTGCTTAAACATCCAGATATAACCATGAAGACCAAAAGACAATTGATAAACACCATCTTCATTCCAACACTCTGCTACCAGTGCCAAACATGGACAATCAACAAGACCCATGAAAGAAAAATAGAAGCCTGTGAAATGAAATGTCTAAGAAAAGCAGCGAATAAGACCAGACTAGACAGGATAAAGAATATAGACATTAGAAACACTGTCAAAACTACACCATGTTTAGACTACATAGAACATCAAAGAATGAAATGGTTTGGACATCTAACCAGGATGAAAATGATCAAATAACATCACAAATTTTCAACCAAAGAAGCTCAGGATATAAGGCAAGAGGAAGACCAAGGAAACTGTGGATTGACGGGGTCTCCGAAACCTGCCAAAAGCATGGCCTCAGAACATCAGATGCTGCCCGCCTTGCTTATGACAGGAACTTGCATCTCCCCACAACGCTTAGCGGCATACGTGGAAGGAAAAAGTAAAAGTAAAAGTGAATTAGTTGACTAGATTATCCTCATTGCCAGTCGAACTATACAGCCCTGCTCAGTAAATCCCACAGTGAGTAGTGGCTGACAACACCAGTTCTATGTTGGTTTCTTATTCATCTTTGGCTTCCTGCATAGTTCTCTTGTCTGGCCACACCCTTTTTAACTTGTTCTTGCAGACTAGTCATGATTGCATGTCACTTGGTTGTTGCAAACATCTTACTTCTTGCAGTGCATTCAAAATATCAGCTTTGTCCATGGCTCGTCCACCCTTCATAGTAGCTACAAGCCTATCAGCTTGCTTATTTCCTTGCACACCTGCATGCCCTGGCATGAAAATAAAACTGATCTTTGTCAGCTCCAGCTCCCTCAGAGACACTAACCACTGTCTTCGGACCCAGCCCATCTTGGTATTCATTGTATCTTTACACCAAGAATGTTAACTCTTTCGGTACCAAGCCACTCAGTAACCTATTACTCTCTCCATCTCTCTCTGTGTCTCTGTCTCTCTCTGTCTTTTTCTTTTTTTCTAGCTCTCTCTGTCTCTCCATCTCTCTCTGTCTATCTCTCTCTTTATATCCCTCTGTCTCTCACTTTATATCTCTTTGTTTCTCTGTTTTTTTTCTCTCTCTCTCTCTCTCTGTCTCCCTCACTCTCTGTCTGTCTCTGTATGTCTTTTTGTGTCTATCTCTGTCTCTGTATCGCTCTGTATCTCTCTCTCTCTCTCTGTCTCTGTGTCTCTTTCTGTCTCTATCTGTCTCTCTATCTCTCTCTATCTCTCTAACTTTCTGTCTGTCTCTCTGCCAGTCTCTCTGTCTCTCTCTCATATTTAAGGACAGACATTTAATCAGAATGCTACTGGCACCATTGGTATAGTAACTTTGAGCTGGCTGCTAAAGATGTGGATGGAGAGCTTATGGGAATGCCCCGAGTGCTGTGATGTTGGTTCTTAAATCAACTCAGCTCTCTCAGATATATAAAGTATTTTTCTTTCTTTAAATGACATGGGCTCCCATGTTGACCCAGCCTTAAATGGGTACCAGGAAATGTCCTGGGAGGTAAATGTGGACCACATCACCTGCAGAGCGGCTATTATGAAATAAATCAGTCTAGCATCATATAGTGGATGAGCAACAGGTGTAAAAAGGACCGTTTACATTTTACAAAACATTACTTTTGATTCATTCAGTCCAGTGCACAAATCATTTAGTCCAGTGCACAAATAATTCAGTTCAACACAGAGATAATTCAGTTCAGCACTCAAATAATTCAGTTCAGCCCACAAATAATTCAGTTCAGCACACAAATAATTCAGTTCAACTCACTGACGTTCCAGTCTTTTATAAGCAAAAGAAGAGAATATTCAAACCAATCAGAAAGCCACCAAAACCGACACAAGATGATTATAATTTTATGGACAGACCAGAGCAAGTTATTATTTTACGCCTTAGAACTGGACACAATCAACTTCACAGCTACATGTACACAAAATTTGAAATCGGCCAATCAGCCATGTGCACATGTGGATTGCCACCTATCTTGCATAGATCATGTCCTCCAAGACTGTCCCAAATACAACAAATCAAGGCGAAACTTTTGTCCAAAGAAACATCAGTGCAAGTGAAACTTTACGGCTTACTGAGTGAATTACAAAAGACAGTGAAGTTCATTCTAAAGACAACATTGCAGATATAGATAATTTATTTCAAGCGAACGAAAGAAGAAGCAGAAGAAGAAGAAGTTCAACACACAAATCATACATTTTAACACACAGATCATTCAGCCCAACACACAAATCATACATTTTAACACACAGATCATTCAGCCCAACACACAAATTATTCAGCACAACATAGAGTTTTCCGCTCCCTGGTGGAGCCGGACTTTTTTCAAAAATGACCTTGGAAAAGTGCAGTCCCGGGAAAGTAAAGGCGGCCGCGTGATGCTGACCACATCACCCATCTTGTGCCGACTGGTCTATAAAAATATAGGTCTAGCCCTATATGCCCTATACGCCTAAAGGCGTGGAAAGGGTCCTTTACTTTACTATAGAGTTTTCAGCCCAAAACACAAATCATTCAACCCAACACGCAGATCAATCATTTGGTCTAACAGTTGAATGTTGCCTTCCTTTCCAGAACCGGTCACAGAACTGCCTGACCCCGGGGATGCCTATGGGACAAGGAAACATGCCTAGTGTGACCTACTCGCAGAGTATGAATTCACCTTCCTATCCACAGAGTAAGATATAGTTTAGATGTTTTGGGGTTGTTAGAAGCATCAGAAACCCAGTCTTACCACCCTCTAAAATGTTGGACTGTCCTGTGATGTCAAATGGGGTAGGATATAAATAAAGAACCCACTTTAAAAAAAAATCCTACAAGTTCATCATCATCATTCAGGCATGCCATTATACATTATTACATTTATCATGGAGGGAATTCAGTCCAGCATCTTTTGTTTCTCTCATCAGTGTTTGTCTTAGAGTTTCTCTTATCAGTGTTTGTCTTAGAGTTTCTCTCATCAGTGTTTGTCTTAGAGTTTCTCTCATCAGTGTTTGTCTTAGAGTTTCGTCAGTGTTTGTCTTAGAGTTTCTCTCATCAGTGTTTGTCTTAGAGTTTCTCTCATCAGTGTTTGTCTTAGAGTTTCTCTCATCAGTGTTTGTCTTAGAGTTTCTCTCATCAGTGTTTGTCTCAGAGTTTCTCTCATCAGTGTTTGTCTCAGAGTTTCTCTCATCAGTGTTTGTCTTAGAGTTTCTCTCATCAGTGTTTGTCTTAGAGTTTCTCTCATCAGTGTTTGTCTTAGAGTTTCTCTTGGGTGTCCTCACTTCCTCAGTCTATTTGTTTCCCATTTCAGTGCCTGTTTAGTGATTCTCTGTCCACTTCTCCTCGTTATGTACCCGAAATTGTGCCACATTCTTTTTGTCATAACAGTTTTTACCAATAACCATGTGTTTGTCTGCCACTCATGCTTTTGGTTTTAAACCTCCTTCTGTTCTGTTTGGTTATGTCATTAACGCCCACTAATGTGGGAGCCGCCATAGTGTAGTGACTAGATGCTCCTCTACGAATCCAAAGTTTGTAGGTTCGGGTCCTGACAGAGCCAATTTTTTTTTTTTAAATGACCTTGGTTTCTAGGTCGACCAAGCCTTAAATAAGTATGAGGTAAAGTCCTAGGAGGTGAAGGCAACTGGTGTGATGTTGACCATGTCACCCACCAAGTGCTGTTTGATCAACAACAACAAAAACAATAAGTCTAGCCCTGTGTGCCAACATGCCTGAAGATGTGAAAACGAGTCCTTCACTTCACTGTAAATGTTACTTAAACTTGTTCTCTTCCATAGGGCTCAAATCTGAATAGATAAGGATATAGCATGTGTTAGTTTGCAGCACGGACTGCTTTAGATGCCACAGGTTCAACAAGAACTGTCAGGGACCAAAAGAAATTTCAGAAACCTGGCCTGTTCAGTTCATGGGGCTTTCATGCTGAAAACCACGTTGATATTCCCGGGATTTCCCATAAATTCTTAACATGTGCACTCTGTCCGTCATCTACTGGATAAATCCATGGACACATTAACTTGTGTCCATCTCAGGGCTTGCTTAATTATTCAATGTTTTGACATGTCTACTTATTAGCTTGTATTGAACATCATAGTCATGTTTCAACATATCCTGAATACTTTCAAGAACCAAGCATCTCACCCTGTGTTCATCAGTTAGCCCAGATAAAGTTTACCATTTTTACCTCTTTTTTTCTCATAAGTCATAGACTTATAATGTTGACTCATTCTGTCCTTCTTCTTCTTAGCCTTCACCAACTGTTAATATTGGCAGAAAGTTCTGGCTGTTCTTCCACTTCTGGACTTTGGTCTTGTTCCAAAACGTGCATTTTGTATGCACATCCATTTTAAAGATCTTGCATACTTGTATGCAGAATGTTGGTTCCTCACCTGTCAGGTGCACTCCGACTTTAACACTCCCTAATTAGTCGCCTGCTATGACATGCTCATTGGTGGGGGGGGGGGGGGGGGGGGGGGGGGGGGGTGGTGCAGTGTCTGCCCTCCCCCAGGGGGAAAAAAAAGGCTCCCGGAAAAATAAACCTAGTTAAGATCATTAGCTAGAAGATGAGACTAGCTGCAGAATGATCAGAAGAAGATGACATGACTGTTTTTGAATAAATGTAGAATTGTGTATGCTAAAAAAGAAAATCATACATCCTCCTAAAATAAGCCCCTAGTGTATATTTGTAAAGCAGAAATTAATACTAGACCCAGTCTTAAATCAGGGAAACATGGCATCAGATTCTGTATATGCTGCGTTATAACTTCAAATTCTTACGTCCTTTTCAGGACGTAATTTTTTGTTATTTGAAGCCCCACTCTGGCTTTTGCCAGGGGCCGCAATATAGGCAGGCCATAAAAATGGCCAAATGTCTGAACGCGGTTTCTGGGACCTCTCCACGGTGATCCTCATCCACATGGTGGCACGTTGTGTCATCGGGTGTTTATCGCTTGTGTGATGTCCTGGTGGAGTAGAAAGTCACTCACTCACTCAGATTCTGTGCATGAATGTGAGTGTTGTATCAATCAATCAATCAGGTGCCCTCTCCGCAGTGAAGGTTGGCTGCATTGGATCTCTAGCATGCTCTGTCTCTTGTCCTGGTTGTACACTCTCTCAGACTGCTGCCTGCCCATCTATTGATACTGTCCTCCCACTTGTATCATTGCCTACCTCTTGCTCTCTTTCCTTCGATGGTTCCCTCCGGTGTGGTTTTTAACAGTGTGTTGTCTTTTATTGTGGCCAGATTATTTCAGTTGTCTCTTTTGTATTTCTTTCTGTAATTCTCTTTTCATTTTTAGCCTTTCCAGAACCTCTGCAATGGACTGTTTTTGTTTCCATGAAATATGACCTATTCTTCTGTATACCCACATCTCCAAAGAGTCAATTTGATGTTCCAGTTGCTTGTTCATTGTGCACGTTTCTTCACCATACAGCAGGACTGAGTAAACATAACATTTGATGATTCTCATTTTTAATGTGTTGTTTTAATCTCTAACTGTCAGTAACTTGCACATCTTATTACAGTTTTAGCCTTTACTATTCTCTTTTTGATTTCTGTTTCTCTTTTTCCATCATTTGTTACCTGTTACTATGTGTCCTAGGTAGGAAAAACTTGTCACTTGTTCTAATAGCTCTCCACTTACTGTGATGTTCACTGTTGGCTGCTCTTTTCCATTGTTAACTACTATCGTTTTTTGGTTTTATAAATGTTAATGTCTAAGCCACACTCTGCAATCCACTTGTTGACTTGATCAGCTAGTTCTTGTAACTCCTGCTCGCTTTCTGCTAGTAGCACTGTATCATCTGCGTATCTTTGATTTGTTTATTGTTCTTCCAATAATTTTCAGTCCAGGCACTTCCTCAGCCTGTTTAAAAATGTTTTCTGTATGTAAATTGAAAAGGCTTGGGGATAACACACATCCCTGACATACTCCTCTTTAACTGTGGTGAGGTGATGTTGTTGTATCTGACTGTTATGTCTAATTGTTTCTGTTTTTTTCCAGTATAAGTTACTAATAATTCTGATGTCCTTTCCATCTAATCCTATATATTGGAGACATGCAATTAGCCTTTCATGTTGCACCCTGTAATCTATGAAACAAAACCTTTCTGGACTTCTATATATTTTTCAGTCAGCATCTTTGAACAAATTATGGCTTCCCTAGTGCTACTATTTTTCTTAAATTAAAATTGTTCCTGAGACACTTCATATTTTTTTTAATTTGAATTCTTTCTTGAATGATCTCAGTGTTGTAACAGAGTGATCAGTATTAAACTTAATTGATTTCCACAGATGATTTCTCAATGAATAATCCAGAAATGGGTGGAACAGGAGGAGGAATCAACTTCAGTCAGTGGAACCAGGGACATATGAACGCAGTTTCTCCACAGAATGCTGGCATGATGTCTCATCACAGGTAGGAAATTCGAATATTCCAGAATTTACTAGAAAACTAGAATTCACTGATGCAGCCTCTTCTTCTTTATGTTCACTGACTGTAAACTCAAGTGGAAAGTTCTGGTTGTTTGTCACCTCTTGGACTCTAGTCCTGTTCCAGAACCTGAGTGTTGCAAGCACAACCCTTTCACATTTCTGACTCATTTTTACATGGACTACACAAATACACTCCGACTTTGAATAAAGCTGCCAGTTAGTTGACTCTTGCGACATGCTTGTTGGGGAGGCAGGGGGTCTGTTCTTATTTGCCCTAAAGATGAGGCCCATATGAGGAACTGATGAAGCCACAGACCTAGACTTATATAATTATCAGGCACACAGAACACTGTACACTCAGATGTCTTAAGTCTCCACTAACTCTTTTAATCCCAAACAAGGCACCACGTTGCCTGGATTTACTCATATGCACCAGTTAACATATTATCTTGCTTGTACATTTGCTTGTACATTTTATTTTAATCTGGGCATGCTAAATCACTCAACAACACATTTGTCTCCCTTGATGGATATGTATTTGAGCCCTGTTGATGTAGTATATCTATTTTTTTAATGTTGCGATTGGCTCCCTGGAGAATCAACTATGACCTTCTGGGATAGAAAGAACAGATAATGCAGCAGTTTTTTTGCACATAGCATAAGGGGTGAAAAGACCAGTGGAGAAGCCAGGTTTTTATAGTATGCTATGGCCAGATGTAAAATATGAAAGAACACTTGATGCGATGGTTGATATTCAAAACACAGAACAGGTCTTTAGATCCAAAATATCTCAGAATAGCTGGCTCTGTCAATACCAGCATCACTGTATGTGCTTATTTTCTAAGCATAGATACATAGGACATTTACAGCATTCAAAGAAGCAGATAGGCAAATATGAAATTAAAATGATACACACTGGTTCTCTTGCCCTCAATGCCTGTCCTTGTCAGATCCACTCCTAGTTCTTTGTTCACACATTCTTACACATGTCATTTCATCTAAACTTGTGCCTTCACTAAATACAAATGGATCAAAGAGTTACTGGCATTCCTCCCCTCTGACCGTGGCAAACATGATTTTGTTGACTTGGTCATGGGGATCAAAATGATTTAATATGAGATATCATCATCAGTTCTCGTTATGCCTAGTGGCACATGAGGCATCAGAGAGGACTTTCCATGCTTTCCTGTCCTGTGCAATCTTCAGTGCAGTTTTCCATGTTAAAGATGCCGCACTCAGGTCACTTTCCATCGTTCGTCTCCATGTTGTTTTCGGGCGCCACTGTTTTCTCTTTCCCTCTGGTGTCCATGTGAGAGCTGTTTTGGCAGGTATATCAGAAGTCATTCTCATAACGTGGCCATGCCATTTCCATCTTCTCTTGGTAATCATACTGTCTAAAGTTTCTTGGTTTGTGGCTTGAAGTAGTTTAGTGTTTGAGATTGTATCTGGCCAGAAAATTTTGATAATTCTACGTAGACATGTGTGGTGGAAGGTGGACAGCTTGTGTACATCCTTTTTGGTCATTCTCCAGAATTCTGCTCCATAAAGAAGAACTGGCAAAATGATGCTCTTGTAGAGTCAGAGTTTCGTTCCTCTGCAGTAATTGTTGGATTTCCAGATTTGCCTCATCCTTCCAAAAGCAGCTCTAGCTTTGTTCAGATGTGACTGTATGTCTTCCTCTGTCCCTCCCAGTAGGGACACAACACTGCCAAGATATGTGAAATGTTCTACATTTTCAAGTGATTGGTTACTTATGGTCACTGGTTGTTGGTTTGGACTGTTTGTCATGATCTTAGTTTTCTTTGTATTTATTTCTCAGTCCCACCATTTCTGCTGTGCAGTTTAGTCTGTTATATGAGATATGGCGTACGTAATAGCAGTGTCATAGTTTGAGAACAAAAAAATTTTGTAACCCCTAAAGTTTCTACAGTTTTCTGGGGGCAGTATCCACAGTCATACCCACCATGTCTAGACACTGTGCAGGTACAGCCAGTACCAAAACTGTTATATAGGCTTAGTGACCACTGCCCAAAGGCTTCATCTTGGCTTTCTCCAGGTGACATTGTTAAAAATTACTGTACCTCATAAAAGCAAATAAAATGTACTGTAGATGCAATGTATCGTAAAAATTTACAGTGTAATTGTTTATCTCTTCACTTTATGTAGCCCCAACACTATGAACAACATGTCTGGACAGGTGTCGCCACTAGCCATCAATACTTTGAGTGGAATGCATATCAAGAGTGAGCCAATCACCCCACCGCGGGACACCACAACTCCCTCCACACAATTCAGACCTCATTCAAGCGGCACTGGTCATCTATCACCATCATCAGGCATGACTGGCCACCTGTGTCCATCCCCGAGCATCACAGGCCATTTATCTCCATCAGGTGGACACAACATGCCTGGTCATCTGTCTCCATTAACAGTCGGCCCAGCTGGACACATCTCACCTTCAGCATCTGGCCACTTGTCTCCAGCACTGCCTATAGGTCACAGTAACAACAACTCCCCTGTAAACACTCAGCATCTAGACTATGACAGCCCTATGGTCAAGCGGTCAAGAATGGAGGGCTGGACAACATAATGACAAGGAAACAGGAGTCAACATCTACCTGGCTTGAATTTGATTATCTGCATATCAGCTGGACAGCGTGTATCAGCTGGACAGTGTGTATCAGCTTGTGTTGCTGACTCGGCAACTGTTGGACCTGGATAACCTGGGACTGTAATTTCAGCTGGCTCTGAGATAGATTCCTGTCCATTCCCTCCCATTCTTGGGGAGGAATCACAACCACCCTGTGTTTTAGTGAAGCTTGCTGAATTTTTAGTGTATAAATGATTTGTCATGTAGCATTGCTGTATCTCCCCCCCTTGCCTTGAAAATTTCGTCCCTTGCAATGAGTTTTTCGCCATGGCTGTGAAGATCATTGAAAGTGTTTAATGAAGCCCATGATAAGGACAGAGCAGATTGGCTGGCTCAGGTGGCAGTTTTGTCTCCTGGAGCTGATGCCACTGTGAGCTTCTGGTGCCTCATGAAGATGTTTTGCCTTTGTCCACTAAACTCACAAAGCTGAATTCAGTCCTTCTGGCCTTGCTCTACTGGACAGGCCAGTTGTTCACATTTGTGGACAGACTGGTCACTTCTGTTCTCATCACCGCACAGTGTGTTATGAGTTTCAGTACCAGCAAAACAATGGTGGAATGTTTTGTCTTGATATTGTTTTGCCGTTTCTTTTCCTGCCGTGAATGAAGTTTCTCTCATTATGTTGTATTTATTTCACTGTTTTCCCTTTCAAACAAGAGGTTTAAATCTTGTTGGCAATTTTATTTTCTTGTAAAGGTCAGACAGGGATTTGTAATTTTAGAAAAAAAAACCTGGTCATATTTTGTTTTGCTAATACAATGTGTGTTTTTTATTTTTTTTTTTTATGACCGATACTGCATTAACTTCTATTTACTTGTTCGAACAGTTCATTTTGGTATAATATTTACCATTCACATTGAGTGTTTCTACAGCAGTATTTAACACCCTCTTACAAACTTTTAGACAGTAAAAGTAATATGTCAGTGATAGGAGATTTATTAATGAAAAATATTAACAGGTTAATAAAAAGCATTATGAAGGACTATCAGTAAGAATACAGGATAACATTATTATGATAAATAAATGTATCTGTGTCCTGAAGGGTTCTCTAGCTTCTTATTTCTATACACATATAAGGTACACAGTTTCAGTTGGTTCAAAAAAGTTTTGGTAGCCTCCTCTGTCCCTGTATACTAAAGGAGGGTACTTAATTTATAACTTACCCCTGACGTCACGACAACGTCACGGGAGACATTCCCAATAAATTCTAGGGTGTTCAGGTTGTAGTTTCTCGCGATTTCTCTACAGTAAAGTTTAGGATTAGGGTTAGGGTTAGCATTAGAAGACACTAGATTAACACTCAAAAAAAGCACCACACAACAGCACACTTCCACCCCTTAAAATAATGGACTGTCAGGTCAGCTGTGGATTTCCCACGGGGATTTCGTGTTTGGGGTACGTTATAAATTAAGAACCTAAAGGAGTTTTAAGACAATTGCAATGGAGAGATTTCTGTTTTAAAAATGTTGTTAGTACATCAGTTCAGGTGAATCATGTTAGAATGTTAAAGATACGATTGAAACGGTAATAGAGGTGAATAAAGAGAATAAAGATGTATTGGCTATGAAAGCACATAGGGTTGGTGAATTGACAGGAGGCCTGATCACAGTTGCTATAAATATTTAAGACCTTGTCATTTATAATGTAGCTACTAAATCAACTTATTTGGCATACTCATGATTTCCAAAACTTGATGATGATGATGATGACTGAAAGTCACTGATATTCAGTAGGATCTAGGACAGAGCTTTCCAAACTTTTCATGTCAGTGACATTCTTTAGAGAATCCTAATTTTGCGACAGGCTAGTTCAGTCTACTAGCAGAACAGAGATTTAACTAATCCCTTATACAAAAGTTTAACTTAGCTCATTATAAGAGATATGGGCACATATCCTCGGGATCCTTGCCGGTGCAGCAGAGTTTATGCACTACGCTAAGGTTCTTAAGACTCAGGCTTGAGTTACAAGCAGAATGGAGCACTTATGGGTTACCCCCGTGTGCCATGATGTTGATCCGTTGAATCAACAATATTATTAAATGGGCACATACATAGCTTTACATTGGTGTGACACACCTTCACACTGCTGCCGACACTCTGAGGTGTCACCAGTTTGCTCAAGGATGTTGTGCAGGTGACAACTAAACCTTGTCTCTGAAGTGGAATAAGAGCCACTATGATGTAGCAGCTAGATGCATCCCTGCAGATCCAAAGGTTCTAGGTTCACATTTACATACATGGAAAGAATTTTTTTTTTCTTTTCTTTTCTTTTTGATAACACGACCTTGGCTCGACCCAGCCTTAAATGGATACAGGTAAAGTCAAGAGTAGTAAAGTTGGCCTGCCTGATGTTGGCCACTTCACCCATTAAGGGCTGATTGGTCTATAAAAATAAGAGTCTTTCCTCATCTGCCCAATAGGCCACTGGCATGCAAAGGGACCTTAACTTTACATTTATTGTAGAGGAATAAGCACATATTCTCATACCTCACTGTTGTTGCTAGTTTTGAAAACAAAGTGTCACCAAGCAGAACTGTAAAATCTTTGCGAAAACTGTTTTAGCTGCGATTTGTCTTTAACCCTTTGGAGACAACCTTATTTGGAGTTCAGTGCCAAGAAGATTGACCCTTTAGGAGAGGTTTCTCCCAATTTACACACACAAAAAAACTTTAAAAAATTAATAGTTTAATTAACATATATAAAAATATATATTCTTGTAGGAAATTGAACATTTTAACAGTCTTTATAAATCAATGCTGACATACACAACATCTCAACATTGATTCAAATTAGTTATGCCGATTTGCATATTTATTCAAAAGCCAGTGGCATCCAGCGTGTACTGGATCGCAAATTATTCCTCCCCATGATGCTTAACGGCACAAGTGCTTTATGATGATGATGATGGTGACTAAATTTAACAAATGGGTGCATTTTCTGATGAATGAATACTGTATAACTCCTAACACTTGTGTTTTGGGAAGCCAACCGATGGAGGCCCTTTAGATATCTCTAGCAGATTGTTTACCTCTTTTCCTGCCTCCTGCTATGTTTTGATTGCTATGACACAACAGTCTATTTCACTATTGTCCAACACAGGTTAACTCCACCCCGTCACCCCCACCCCCAAATCGGCCCAGTTGCCCCATAAGGATTAGTCACTGCATACTTGTCATATCACACTATTTATTGTCAACAGTGACAGTTTAGAGGAAAATCACTTTATGAATTACTCCAGGCGCTATATTTTCTTACATTGGGGTTTTTGGGGGGAGGGGGGTGGCGGTTAAGTTATCCTTTGATGTGTCCAGGCTAATTTTATTTCATTTCACACTTCTGTTCTGGCAACATTGTTGTTGCTGCTTTAATGATCATTATGTTTCATTTGTTGTTTTATTTATGTTGTTCATCTGCAATTGACATGCAGTAATGTATATTCTATATATATATATATATATATTTATATATAGCCTTCTATTGTGTGTTACATACACCCCATCTTAGGTTTGTGTTGTCACAGATAGCCACACTTTATATGACCTTGATTGTGTACAACTCAAGTCAGGAAGCTTCAAGCATTCTAGTTTTATTTATTCCCATTTTCATGTACATGCATCTGTATTTATGTGCACAGCATTGTGTTTGCTTGCTTGCTTGCTTGTGTAGAACAAATGATCTAACACTAAGCACACATTTAACTCAACCCTTTCCCATCAGAAAACAATGTATGTGTTGTCAGGTTTTATCATGTTGTGTCAGGTTTTACAGTGTCATGTCAGGTTTTACCACGTCTGGTTCTTCAGTCCAGAGAGGGTCTGAAGGTGTTCAAATTTAGTACTTAACTCTATCTCTTTAACCGCCAATAAGCTTATTCTTGGGAAGATAATGTAGTTTGTTTTCTCTTGCCCTCCCCATGCACACATTAGATTTGTTACCAGCTCAGAATATTTCAGGGAACAGCAGTAATGCATTTGGTTAGAACATCCTAAAAATGTGGCTGCCTCACTGGCTACTTGCAGTCTGCATTTAACATCTTTAAAACGTGACTTGTGATTTTTCATAGTGGTTTATCCTCTGTAAGTTGTCTGAGGTGAAAACCATGTGATACTAGAAGAGTTACAAGATATTAGACTAGAAAAGTACAATTTAAAAAAAAAAAAACAGGAATTGGCTTATCAATATAGATGGTTTGACCTAGTAGAACAGTAGTACCCAGTTAGCTTAGGCCTGCAAACTTCTTCTTCTTCTTCATGTTCACCAGCTGTAAACTCTGGTGGAAACTTTAGGTTGTTCATCCACTTCTGGACTGTCATCCTGTTCCAAAACCTGAGTGTTAAGTGTGCATCCATTTTACAGATCTGACTCGTTTGTATGCAGACTGCTGGTTCCTTGCCTCTCAGGCAGATGCACTCCGACTTCGAAGGAAGCTCCAAATTAGTCGACTCTTAGGACATGCTTTTGGGTGGGCAGTGGGTCTGTTCTTATTTTCCCTATAATAGGACCCAGGAACCCACACGGGGAAACCTGCAAACTTATTTTCGAGGGTCTAGCAAAGGACAGAACCTAAAAGAGCTAAACATTTTAAAACTTTACATTCTAAAGTGAAGGTATTTTTTGAAATGTTAATGATATCACAGAGCCCTTACATGTTTTTGTCAACCTACAAGCATCCGCTGTCCTCAAATAGGCCAGACTGCTGTAAAGGGACTTTCATCTTCACGTCAGTCATCTATAGGTATGCTGTTTGTTATTGAACTGAAATTCTTTGCATTTAAATTGTGTAGAAAAAGCTGCCCTTCCTGTTTGTTTTGTTGGATTATATTTGGTTTCACCAACAGACAGGGCTGCTTTTGTACTCTCTTTTGTATATAGCTTATATTGATGTATTTATCACTTGCTTTTTTGTTCTTGTGCCACATCTGTCTGTTGAGTTGGTGTGTT